TCTGCTCCCCTCCCACTCCACTTGTCTCCACTCAGCTATTTTTTCACTTCTTTCATTTAGGCCAGATTATGAACTGTTTGGTATATGTGACCTGTTGCCCCGCCCTCCTACCACCACACTTATAGTTTGCTGTATCCTAGCATTTTTCACACATAGATCCCAGAGACTTTTACAAGGGAAGGCAAGTATTATCCTCCCCTTTAACAGAGATAATACAGGAGGTAAGTGGCATAGCTACTCTACCAGAATGCAGATCTGCCTCCTAGCCCCCTACCCTATACCCCAGACCATGCTATCTCTCTGCTTAAAGTATTTGTGAATATGATGGAACTCACTCACTAGATGACCAAATGCTTAGTCTGCACTCACTTCCTGCTTCTGCTTGGGTACATTACATTCAGAATACAAAATAACAAATCTCCCCTTTTGTAGAGGAGATGCACTTTTCATCCACAGTGACTTGGCACTCTAAACATAAATATCTACAATCTAAATAAAAATGGGTATGTATCTAGGCTCCAACTTGTACTCCTTCAACTGGGAGTTCAGTCTACTTACATAATACTATTTTTAAAGACTACTTATTTTGTACTTTTTATGGGACATTAAACGACTGTAGTTTAGGCCCATAATTTGTCTTTAGTGAGATTTAAAAACAATCTGATTTTTTTAAAGTCTTCCATTATATGTACACGTCCTGGCATGGGTTCATCCTACTGCTGCAGAGCTGCAAGCAGTCAGCAGAGGGAGCACAAGTTAACTATTTACCAGTTATTACCCAAACTTCTGGACTCCACAAAAGATTTTGATAAATAGTGACAATGGAAATTACAGACTGCTGTCAGAGTGTAAAGGGGCAGTTATCCCTCCACTGGCAATTACACTGGCAATAGGGAACAAATTGAGGCAGAAAGTGGACCAAGAGCTCATGTGAAACTGAACAGAAACTCCACTGTTCGGAGGGCTCATGGTGAAGATAGAGAAGCCACCAGAGGTAGCAGGTTCCGTGCCATCAAGAGCAAAAGTACATGGCAGAGTCACACGTCAAAACTGGAGGTCTGGTCCAGCATTTGCTTCCTATAATGGGAGTAAAGTGGTGATAGTCAATGGCTTGGGAAACTGTTGTATTGTCAAGAGGAGGCCTTGGGTTCTGTGGCGCAGGGTTTCTGCTCCTACAATAGTGGATAAGGGTCAGAGATCTGCATCTTTAGAAGCAGATTTAACAGATTCTTGAACTACCTTTGGATCTGTGGGCATTAACCCCAGTCCCTCCCACAAGACAGGCAAATACTACTTCACAGACTGGGGCCTCAGGTATTTTTGGAAAGTAAACTATCCTCTTTTACACCTTTTTCCATACTCAGCATTGATTGAGCCTAGGGCCTGGTCTACACTACGAGGTTAGGTCGACTTTAGCTGCATTAGGTTGATTTTATAATGAATGCATCTACACAACCAACCCATTCTGCCGACCTAAAGGGCTCTTAAAATCGACTGCTGTACTCCTCCCCGATGAGGGGCGTAGCGCTAAAATCGACCTTCCTGGGTCGAATTTGGGGTAGCATAGACACAGTGCTGTCCAATTCAATGGTATTGGTCTCCGGGAGCTATCCCAGAGTGCTCCAATGTGACTGCTCTGGATAGCACTTTCAACTCTGATGCACTAGTCAGGTACACAGGAAAAGCACCGGGAACTTTTGAATTTCATTTCCTGTTTGGTCGGCATGGCGAGCTCAGTAGGTGACCATGCAGTCCCAGAATCACAAACAAGCTCCAACATGGAGCGAATGGGAGACACTGGATCTGACTGCAGTATGGGGAGAAGACTGTGGAGGCAGAACACCGATCCAGCAGAAGAAATGCTGATATATATGCCAAAAATCGCACAAGGCATGGTTGAGAGAGGCTACACCAGGGATACACAGCACTGCCACGTGAAAATTAAGGAGCTCAGGCAAGCCTACCAAAAGACAAAGGAGACAAACAGTCGCTCCGAGTCAGAGCCCCAGACTTGCCACTTCTATGATCAGCTTCATGCCATTCTGGGGGGGACCCTACCAGTACCCCAACACTCTCCATGCACACCTGCAAGATGACAGCCTCACGTACCACAGATGAGGATTTTGTGGATGAGGAAGTGGAGGAGGAGGAGAATGTGCAGCAGGCAAGCAGAGAATCCATTCTCCCAGGCATCCAGGACCTCTTCCTCACCCTAGAGTAAATACCCTCCCAGGGCCTATTGTTCCCGGACCCTGAAGGCAGAGAAGGCACCTCTGGTAAGTGCACATTTGTAAGGACACTACAGTGGTTAAAAGCAATTGTGTTTAATGTTTGATTTTCCCTGAACAATTGTGATGCATTTGCGGTCAGTACAGCTAATGGAAAAGTCTGTTAATGTGTCTGGGAATGGAGCAGGAATCTTCCAGAGACATCTCCATGAAGCTCTCCTGGAGGTACTCTGAAAGCCTTTGAAGAAGGTTTCTGGGGAGGGCTGCCTTATTTTGTCCTCCACGATAGGACACTTTACCATGCCAAGCCAATAGCAAGTAGCCTGGAATCATTGCAGCACAAAGCATAGCAGCGAATGGTCCTGGGTTTTGGTTGCATTCATGCAACATTCGGTCTTTATCTTTCTGTGTCAGCCTCAGGAGAGTGATATCATTCATGGTCACCTGCTTGAAATAGGGGAAGTTTTGTAAGGGAACAGTAATCCCCTCTATTTGGTGATCCCCAACACATTAGACAGGTCATAGTGGATGAGCCGGGCTGTTTGGGCTTGACTAAAAGGGATCATCCCAGAGAATAGCCACGCGGGAGGGAGGGGTATGCTGCATATCCACCCCAAAACCACAGCCCCTCCTTTTAAGTGGCAAACACAACCAGCATTGGTTGCTATGGGAAACCAGCTATCGGTTGCTGCAGTTTGAAACCATTCCCACATTATGAACGTGGAAAAAGCCAACCCCACGTACCCTTTGGCTTACCATGGCTGCCTGCAAATCAAATTCTGTTGCCCAGCTGTGTGTGATGTGTCACCCCATACTGGCAGGCGCTCAATATAAAAGGCAAAATGCAACCTTGCACCTAAAACATATGTGCTCTCTGCTGTGAATTGCTTGATTCACTGTGAGTCTCCCTTTTGTTCTCAGAAATGTATCATCTTAAAAGTCTACTCTCCCTTTTTTTCCTCCCTGCAGCTGCAAATGCTTCTATGTTCCCCCCATCAACTTTGTTCCTGAGGTTAGTACAGATTAGAAGGTGAAAAAAATGCACCCACACTGACATGTTTTTCGAGCTCATGCAGTCCTCCTGCACTGATAGGGCACAGCTGAATGCATGAAGGCTTGCAACTCCATTGAGAAGCACCCCTTCTGGTTTATGTACTCTTTGGCAAGGTGCTCCGGTGCCAAGATGGGGATATGCGTTCCGTCTATTGCCCCACCACAGTTAGGGAACCCCATTGCAGCAAAGCCATCCACTATGACCTGCATATTTCCCACAGTCACTACCCTTCTTAGCAGAAGGGTACTGATTGCCCTGACTACTTGGATCACAGCAGCCCCTACAGTAGATTTGCCCACTCCGAACTGATTCCTGACTGACCAGTTGCAGTCAGGCATTGCAAGCTTCCACAGGGCTATCGCCACTCGCTTCTCAACTGTCAGGGCAGATCTCACCTTGGTATTCCTGCGCTTCAGGGCGGGGGAAAGCAACTCACAAAGTTCCATGAAAGTGGCCTTATGCATGTGAAAGTTTCGCAGCCACTGGGAATCATCCCAGACCTGCAACACTATGTGGTCCCATCAGTCTGTACTTCTTTGCCAGGCCCAGAATTGGCATTCCACTGTATCAACATGCCCCAATGATATCCCAATTGCCACATCCCGTGCTTTCAGGAACCTCTGTGTCCCTGACTTCCTCACAGTCTTCCTCATGCTGGGGGCGGCTCCTAATTAGGTTCTAGGCATACTGCAGGATAATGCGCAAGGTGTTCGCAACGCTCACAAAAGCGGAGTGCAGCTGAGTGGGCTCCCTGCTTGCTGTGCTGTGGCACCAGGAAAAAAGGCGTGAAATGATTGTTTGCTGTTGCTTTCAAAGAGGGAGTGAGGGAGGCAGGGGAGACTAACAACATGTACCCAAAACCACCCGCGACCATGTTTTTGGGAGGCATTGGGAGCTTAACTCAGAATTCCAATGGGCAGCAGGGACTGTGGGATAGCTACCCACAGTGCACCACTTCGTCAGTCGACGCTAGACAAGGTATTGAGGACACACTCCGCTGACCTAATGCACTTAGTAGGGACATGCACGATAGCCTGTATAAAATCGGTTCCTAAAGATCGACTTCTATAAAATTGACCTAATTTCGTAACATAGACATGCCCTCAGTATGTGGATGAGATGGCGGAGAGTGAGAAGAGAATTACAGTGTGCAAGCTAGAAGGCGGCAAACCCTTTATGGCAACAGTTGTGATTCAGGTTTCAGAGGAACAGCCGTGTTAGTCTGTATTCGCAAAAAGAAAAGGAGTACTTGTGGCACCTTAGAGACTAACCAATTTATCTGAGCATGAGCTTTCGTGAGCTACAGCTCACTTCATCAGATACATCTGATGAAGTGAGCTGTAGCTCACGAAAGCTCATGCTCAGATAAATTGGTTAGTCTCTAAGGTGCCACAAGTACTCCTTTTCTAGTTGTGATTCAATTACTCTTATATTTCTGAAAAGGTGACAGAAATCATGTATAGTGAAAAACAAATAGAATCCATGACTAAAAATAATTTCCTGTGGAGTGGCTCCCTATTTACATGTGTTGCATCATGTTTCTGAATGAGAATTGAAGAGAACTCTTGTTCCTTAAACATACTGTTTCCTTAAGGAAACAGAGGAAATGTCTTTGAGTGACAAATGGCACTCTTTCCACCCATAAGCTTTGAGCATTTGAGCTCCAGTAAGTATGCCTTGAAAGGCAATTAAACATATTGCACAGACACATATTACTCTTTTAGACAGACAATGTTTAGATTCAGGAATTGTGTCCTTAGCCTCTGTTTGCCAGAAGCTGGGAATGAGCAACAGGGGATGGATCACTTGATGATTACCTGTTCTGTTTATTCCTTCAGGCACCTGGCATTGGCCACTGTCAGAAGACAGGATACTGGGTTAGATGGACCTTTGGTCTGACCCAGTATGACATTCTTATGTTCTTAAAGCCAATAAAAACTATTGGAAAACTTGCTTTTGTTTAAAATAAATACTAAATATTTAACTAATATGTCCCTTTAAACCAAATATACAAGACCATAAACATTAATTTACATATTAAAATATTTTTGCTGCTTTAACAAATATACAAAACCAACAGTGGCAGTACCTTGCTTTTAGTGCCTAATATAAATCTTATACATATAGATGAACCCTTCCATTAAAAGCCATTGTTCTGTGCACTAACCCTGCCTCTCCCCCTAAATATCTGACGAGAAGTAATTTGCACAAACTGGTAAAGTCAAGATTTGGAAAAAAAAAAAATAGTTGTAATAAATTATCCTCTTTCCAGCCTTTCTCCCTGCTCCCTTCCCCCTGTGCCCTCCCTGCCACCCCCCATTTAAATGAATGGAAAAAGCTCATACTAAGTGTTTTTCCATATAATAAATAATCCATTTCAACATGCTCACTTTCCCACTACGGTAAAGAGTAAATACAATACTTTATATCCTGTATTTCAATGCCTTAGTTTCAGATAATAGCATCCCAAAATTGTGACTGTGTGCTTTGAGACAGATATGGTTAGTATTATTCACTCCACACAAGATAAAATACCTTTACCAATTTACTTTTACCCATCTCTATAGTTTGAGTTACTCCTTCATAAGTAATTTCAAATGAGACAGAATTTCAATACCTGATGACCAAACTAGAACAGAAGACTGCACAGGATCAAGATCCTCAGACATCTGAGAAATCATTTTCTGTAATGTGTACCCTTGTCTGGGCATAGCAATATCATCCTTCTTTAAAAAAGTTACTGGACAGAGATCATTCCCACCATCACCTACATACACAATTTTTGTATATTTTACTCCTTGGTGTAACTTTTTATCTACAAATTCTTCTAACACTTTTCTTTTGCAGAGGTTTTTAGGGCACTTTGCACAATGATGACTGTGAAAATTCTGCACAGTAAGATAGCCAGCGCCACTGAAAGTTGCAGGATTTGTAAACACTTCATCAAGCACTTCATGAAAGTTAGCAGCTTTCAAAATCCAGTCAATAAATACTGTATTAGAATCTGAAATTATTATGCAATCAAATAAATCTTTGTTCTTGCCAATAAAATCTAAAAGATCTCTCATTCCTGTAGTGAAAGGAATTGTTGTCATAGTTCTTTTCATTTCATCTTCTTTTACTCCACTGTCTCCCAAATATCTAAAGACCCTGCTCATATATTCTGTCCAATGTCCTTTTTGATAGGAGTTTCTTAGTTTGTTAGGCAGTTTTTCCTCAGGAGCACATTTCACAATCCAGGTGTCACTGTTTTCATCTATGACCGTATAGTCAAAGTCAAAAACCAGCAGAAACTTCATAGTTGTTAGATAAGAATATATTCTGAAAAAAAAAAAAAAAAAGAGAAATATTTTCTTTATATAACAGAAGCTTCTGCTAAGTATTTAATTCCTACCATGACCTCCTGCTTGGAAAAGTGCAATTCTGAAAGAAAAAAGAAGTCAAGACAAATGTATAAACATAGTGAGCTGTTTATGAGTGCTACAGCTGTGGGAAAGGTTATGCTCAAGCAAGATTATCTCTCAAGGTCAAATTCTAATTCACTATCCAATTACATTTTTAATTAGATAGTATAAAAAGTATCTGAAGCAACATAATTATATTGTTACTCACTAGTCTTTGCTGACACAAGCTCAATCTTCAGAGTAACAGCCGTGTTAGTCTGTATTCACAAAAAGAAAAGGAGTACTTGTGGCACCTTAGAGACTAACCAATTTATTTGAGCATAAGCTTTTGTGAGCTACAGCTCACTTCATCGGATGCATACTGTGAAAAGTGTAGAAGATCTTTTTATATACACACAAAGCATGAAAAAATACCTCCTCCCACCCCACTCTCCTGCTGGTAATAGCTTATTTAGAGTGATCACTCTCCTTACAATGTGTATGATAATCAAGTTGGGCCATTTCCAGTTCCTTGGACAGCATCATTTAAACAGCCAGGTTGCACTTGAGTTCTAAAAATTTTTATCCACATCACCAGCCAAAGCAACCCTCACAGCTTAAATTCTTCAGCTTGCAGACAGGAGATAGAAGCTTTTTATGAAAACCTTGAGACACATTTGGAGATGCTGCTGCTGCTAGGACTTTAACCCGTTTTCTCCCACCCACCCCTTAAAAACAACAACAATTAGTAACAACATTCAAGCAGCCACGTTGACTCAAAATCAAGAAAGCAAATAATGCTGGTGGTGAATATTAGTGTTGACTTACTATGGGGAGATTTGTAGGTGACTCTTAATATACTGTGGTCCTGCAGCATTAGAGTTTATGGACCAGGCCCAGGGTATCTGAATACCCTGGAGGAAACACCTCACCCTTTGGTTAGCACAGTTGTAGGCACATATTTTGTTTATCTTAGTAATAAGTTCGTTCATCACCTTTTCTTCATTCGGAAAGAAGCCAGGCAAGTCGACAGCGGTTGTGTTAACAATATTTAAGCTACAGCTCGAACTCTCTCTCGTCTCAGCCTCAGTAACTCTATAAAGGACACTTCACACAGAAGGAGAAAGGACCATCCAGTATTAGGCAATATCACTCTTTTGGAAACTCCATCCCCGCCCCCCCCCCAAAAACCCCCAGAACCCCCCACAGCATGACACAGGAGCAGAGGGAGCGCAGAGCACAAGCAAAGGCGAGCAAGGTTTTCAGCTGCGCTCCGGGGAAGGGAGCTGCCGAAGGGAGGGGGCAGCCAGCAGGCCGGCAGCACGCCGCAAGGCGGCCCGCAGGAGAGGCTGGCGCGAACGGAACGGAGCGGAGCGGCGGGGGGGGAGCAGGCCAGGGACTCTCTCAGAAGCCGGGCAGGCCGTTTGCATAGTAGCCGGGGACCAGGGGAGCCCAGCGACGTGGCCACAGGGCAGGTGCCGGCAGGGATGGGAGGCCGGCGGCGGCAGCGCTGTGCTAGCGCCGGACGCGGCGTCCCGGCCTGGCGAGGCCCCGGAGGCGAGCTCCGACAGGAGCCCGGGCGAGGCTCGCGGCGGCAGCGGCAGCGGCAGCCGGGAAGACTCGGCCTCACAGACGGCAGCCGGGCCGCAGGGGGCCGCGCGGAGCGCTCACCCTCAGCCTCTGGGCGGCTGCAGGTCCGGCCCGAGCGGGGACAGGAACCGCCAGCGGAACGAGGGGACCGTCCGGGCCCGAGGCGCCCGACTGGGGCTACACCTCCACAGAGGGGAGGCGCCCGACTGGGGCAGGCGCTGCGACAACTCCGGTCCTCCAGCTCTGACACGGAGCCCCCCCGCTTCCGGCTCCGCCCCGCGACGTCACGTGACACGCCTCTCAGCCAGTCGTGCCGTCTGTCTCCCCCCGCCTTTCGGTTGCCTGGTAACCGCCGTACACAGGCACCGAGCGAGCTGCGCGCCCGCCGGCCCCGCTCGTAGGGTTATGGACGCGGCCGCCAGGCCCGCGGTGCTGTATGGGAGGCGCAAAGGCCAGAGACCGGAGCCCACGCGTGAGTGACACGAGGCTGCCGGGGCTACGCGGAGACCACGCTCGGGGCGACACGCGAGTGGCGGGGGACAGACCGGGGACGGTGCCGGGACGTGGTGCTAAGAGCGGCCTGGGGGCGAGGCCGTCCACCTCTGAGCCGTGTGGTGTCGTGCCCGGCCCCAGCGAGCGCAGCGCCCGGCCCTGCAGCCTGCGACGTGGCGCACGGGCCAGGCGAACCTGTGCCACGGCCTGGGATGGGTCGGTGTGCGGCAAAGACCCCACAGGAGAGACGGATACGCCCCTTGGCTAATGCACCACACAACCCCGGGGCTTCCTTCCTTCCTTGGGTGTCGCTGGCCCGTAGCCACGGCGGCACCCTGAGGCAGGGGAGACTACACTGACCAGTAAAGCAGTTACGTGGGGGGTGAAGAACAGGGGTGGCCATTGAAGTGAGGGACATTTGAGGTGAATGGTGCCTACATGTGTGACGTGGTGGTGCCCAGACAGGTGGGGGACGTGGTGCCCAAACGTGGAGCTGACATGCCAGACACAAGGAAGACAGCACACTTACATACAGAGGGGACAATGCCAGGACACGAGGGAGGCATTACCAGTTCCCGGAACCAGCGGGTTAGATGCTGAGCCTAAAGAGGTGTAGGATGTGAAGTGCAGTGAAGAAGATGTAATCCTCTTTTTCCATTCTCACTCCAAATGAGCCCTGGCATCACACAAGAGTGCAGGGGAAATACAATACAACCCCCTTTATGCAGTCCTTTGCTGGGTGACCCTTTAAGAAAACTGGCAATAGAGATTGTAAACAAAGAACAAACTGACATAAAATATCTCTGTCAGAGAAAGCAGTATCTCACATGGTAAAAACCCTCCGTCTTAAATTCCCGCCCAGCTCTGGCTTCTTAGAGACATGCAAGTAGATTTCTAGAGCCTGTTTCTCCTCTCACAAGGGTATACATAGGAGTAACTCAACTGAAATTAATGAAGTTACAGGTATGTGAAACTATTGTAGGAGTAAATCAGGCCACTTATATAAAGATGCAACCTATGCTAAACAATCATGGCTACATACAGTATACTACTGCTGAAACTTTGTTTGTGCAAATCTCCTTGTTTAGAGGTGGAAGACCAGGCCCAGTGCACCAGCCAAAGGGCAATTAGCAGAGAAGTGATTTTATCTAAAAGTAGGTTTTAATTTTAAACATCATTGTCAGAACAGGTAAAAGTTGTCCCCTTTTTTAGATTTGTCATACAGTACTCTTACAAACCAGATGGGCAAGGTTGAATTTAACGTTACTCAAATATCTGTTTTTTAAAGCAGTAATGACCAACATGAAGGACATTTTCTGAAAATTAATGACTGGCAGGAGGAGTTGAGGGCCTGAAAAATACAGGAAAACAGGACACATTGGTCTGTCAAGTAACACGAGGCTCTGGAGCTGAGGGTTCGTTCTGACTGTGCTCCTGCTCCTGGATACTAGAATTACATTACATTGTAGAGTCAAACGAATATGATGCTTTACTGTCAGCACTGGGTAGGAGTCCAAATCTTGGTGTGGGTTTGAACCCACAATTTTCTGGTCAGAAGTGCTACAAAGTGAGTGAACTCATTCTTTTGTTCTTTCTTTCACATAGCAGCAAATGGTTTAGAAGAATATAATGTTCCAGATAGTATTTTTCTTCCAACTGGAGTGGATCTGCGCCAGGTTACTGTTCTGCCAAAGGCAGAATGGGTAAGGATTCGAGACAGTGTTGACAGTGCAGCTAGAGAAGCAGCACGGATTCATGCAGAGAGGAAAGAACGGAAAGATATGCACTTACGTTCCAAAGCAGTTGTGAAAAACTGGCCCAACACCATTGCAGTAAGTGACATGTACGTTTGGAAATTGGAGGGTTACTTGTCATATACATTAGAACACTCAGAGTGCACTCTTTCCCTCCCTTCTCCATGTACAGACACATACACACACACAAACAAAAACTTCTATTAAGAGTTTCACTATAACCGGAGTCTACTTTTTGGTGGGCCTGCTTATTAATTCTGTCTCCTGCTTAGGTACACCATAGACCTGCCCATGTCATGTCATGGATAAGTTTAAAACAGGATCATAGAGAGAAGGAGAGAGTAAGAGGTGTGAAGGAAAGGTCTCCGTCTTCCCTGCAGACTGCCAATGGAGCCGCTTGCCCACCAGGCCTCCAGTCTTTCCCTTCTCCCTACAGGATTCTTGTTCAAAATATTTCAGTGGGCAAGTCTTTTCTTTACTTCCTGTCCTAAACTGCTACATAGTGCAGTGCTGTTAAACTGCTGCTTATTATCTCAGAGATGGCTGCACATCAGGGGTGATTGAAGTGATCCATATCCTTTATCCAGTGATGTGAAGCTTACTATAACTACTCATAAAACACTTTAAGATCCTCATATGAAATATGCTTTTTAACTGCAAAGCATTTTTATTATACACCTAAATTTCTAATAGATATTTAAAAACAGGACAGCAGCACAAAAATTGTTTGACTGTTCACTTTAGACATAAGTAGGTATAATCAACTTCTTGCTGATTTGGTCTTTTGAAGAAGTTGTAGATTTTTGAGTCAGTTCTTTTCAGTGTGATCTGTAATGGAAATGAGTTTTATCTGCATTTAGGGCCAGGCACAGAGAAAACTTAAAGCTAAAAAATTGCGAGAAGAAAAGGAGGAAGAAGAAAGAAAACTACTTGATCTGGAGGAAGCACAATTTCAAGCAGCAAAGCGGAAGGAGGCCATAGAACAGGCCAAAACTTATCAATATTATCAGAATGAGAGAGTGAAAGGGTTACATGTTTGTAGATGGTTTATTGTCTTTAATTCAAATTATATTGTTTCTTTGAACATACATGAATGTGTAATAAAATAAACATGAAATGTTCCAATTCCGTTTTGTAGAAAGCACTTTTACTTACTGAGGTCCTAAAGGAAAGAGATGCTCAGATTGAATTTAAAAAGACAAAGCCAGATATTTACAAAAAAAAGGAAGAAGAAATGGAACGTGAGCGCGAAAAAGCTATTCTTAAAGAGCAGGAAAAGGCATATGAACGCTATATGAATCGACAGGCACTTTGCAGAGACCATCTGGAACAGTAAGTAAAACAGGGCTGTTTCTGACTAATAAATTGAGTTAAACTGCTGTTGTTAAAAGAAATCTAGTGTTCATCTGCTAAACAAATGAGTTACCAGGAATTTTTAACAAACAAAATACGCTGTCATTTTCTCAGTAGAGAGAGAAAGACCTATTAGATCATCCATTCCATCTTCTTGGCCATGCAGAATTCTAGTGACAGTTTAATATTTTGTCTAATATTTAAAACAGTACAGTTTTAAAAGCCCCACTGCTTCCTTTGGGAAGGAACTTATACTACTTTCCTCAGGAGGCTATTCTACAATCAACAGATCTTATTCCCAGGAAATTTATATTGCAGATATCATAAAAATTGCAACAAAATTGGGGCTCCGTACTAATTCACTGAGCACATCTTCCATCCTGTATACTTTAGTAAATTTTGCTAGAAGTATAATGTAATTGTCACAACCTGGCCCAGCCTCACTCTCTGGAAGGATACCAGTCTTTCATGGAACCAATCACTGGATCCCATGTACTTCTAAGCCCCCTGGATCTTGGTAGTGACTAGACATTATTTCTAGCTCTGGGTCTCAAGGACACTCCCAGATGCAGACCCCATGTCTAACAACTTTCTTCGGCAGTGCCCCAACCCTTCCAAACTCCCAATTGCTTATAGACACTTCCTCAGAGTTCCATCTTGTTTCTCAGTTAACCCTTTCAGGGACAACATGGCTGGCAAACAAATCATTCTGGAAAGGAATTATCAGTGGTTCTGTCTCTTTCTTGATATCTGAAAACTTACTCTAAGGAGCTGCTACTAAATTCAAATGTTGCACTGCACGAATCCATTATGAGGAAATCCTGCTCCATTCTTTGAATATAAAGGGCTTCTGGCAATGGCACTAGTGTAGTTCCGCTGCAGAGAAGATGGGGAGGATTTGTGCATCAACTTTCAGAATACCATTGTACAAGGTTGTGGTATATCTTCCTTTTCTTCCCACAGTGGAAGGAGCACATTAGGGCTGTGATGGTTACTGCCTCTGTGGAATTCTGCTGCTGCCATGTGAGTTGGGGAAAAAATTCCTTTTACAACACCCAGAGTTACTAAGTTCTCATTTTGTACTTGGGTCAAGCATTGGCTTGAGGATTTGGGCCAATGGCTTTAAAATGCATCACTTTGATTTTGAATTCTGACACTTTACCTGCCTTCAGTTCAGACAGCAGTTCACACAAGAGATCCACTTTGTGAACACTTCAGTGCAAATAAGTGATGGTCACATAACCACCACCCTAAACCGGAAACCTACTGACCACTATACTTACCTACATGTCTCCAGCTTTCATCCAGATCACATCACGCAATCCATTGTCTACAGCCAAGCTCTAAGATACAACCGCATTTGCTCCAATCCCTCAGACAGAGACAAACACCTACAGGATCTCTATCAAGCATTCTTAAACTACATTACCCAGCTGGTGAAGTGAAGACACAGATTGACAGAGCCAGAAGGGTACCCAGAAGTCACCTACTATAGGACAGGCCCAACAAAGAAAGTAACAGAACGCCACGAGCCATCACCTTCGGGCCCCAACTAAAACTTCTCCAGCGCATCATCAAGGATCTACAACCTATCTTGAAGGACGACCCATCACTCTCACAGATCTTGGGAGACAGGCCAGTCCTCGCTTACAGACAGCCCCCCAACCTGAAGCAAATACTCAGCAGCAACTACACACCACACAGCAAAAACACTAACTCAGGAACCAATCCCTGCAACAAATCCCGTTGCCAAATCTGTCTGCATATCTATTCAAGGCACACCATCATAGGACCTAACCACATCAGCCACACCATCAGGGGCTCTTTCACCTGCACATCTACCAATGTGATATATGCCATCATGTGCCAGCAATGCCCCTCTGCCATGTACATTGGTCAAACTGGACAGTCTCTACGCAAAAGAATAAATGGACACAAATCAGACATCAAGAATTGTAACATTCAAAAACCAGTAGGAGAACACTTCAGTCTCCCTGGACACTCTAACAGATTTAAAAGTGGCAACTCTTCAACAAAAAATCTTCAAAACAGACTGCAACAAGAAACTACAGAACTGGAATTAATTTGCAAACTGGATACCATCAAATTAGGCCTGAATAAAGACTGGGAGTGGATGGGTCACTACAAAAAGTAATTTTCCCTCTGCTGATACTCACACCTTCTTGTTAACTGTTGGAAATGGGCCACCTTGATTGCAGTGGCCTCGTTAGCACTACAAAAGTAATTTTCCCTCCCTTGGTATTCACCCCTTCTTGTCAACTGTTGAGAATAGGCCACTTCCACCTTAATTGAATTGGCTTGTTAGCACTGACCCGCCCCCTGCCCCTTGGTAAGGCAACTACCATCTTTTCATGTGCTATAATATATATTCTGCTTACTGTATTTTTCATTCCATGCATCTGATGAAGTGGGTTTTAGCCCACGAAAGCTTATGCCCAAATAAATGTGTTAGTCTTTAAGGTGCCACAAGGACTCGTCGTTGTTTTTGCTGATACATACTGACTCGGCTACCACTGTGAATGTTGTTTAACTCTTAGAAATGTGTCACCTTTGTCCATTGTGTACTGTGTACATTTTCTTACCTCTTTAGTATTAATATTTTATTTTATACTTTAGAATAAAGGAACATAAGCACCAGGCCCAATTAGACAAATTAGAGGCAAAAAAAGAAGGTGAAGAGATTCGACGACTGATCGAGTTATATGAATTGGAAGTGCAGAGAAAAAATGAAAAGAAACTGGAGGAAAAACTTGAACATAGGAAGATGCATTGTGTAAGTAACAGAAAAGCAGAAAGCCCAATATTTTTCAACTAGAATGCTTAAAGTTAGGGACTTACATTTATATTTACATACTTAAATAAATGACCAGATTTTCAGAGTTGCTAAACTCAACCTAACAGCTCTCACTGAAAACAGTGGAAGCTGCTAGGTGCTGTGCTCTTTTGAAAACCTGGCTCTTCGTGCTGATTTGCAGTTTGCCAAATGCATTGTGAGCAGTCCTTTGCTGAGTGCAACTGGCAGGTCCCCCAGAGCAGGAGATTTTGGAGTTAACACCTCATTGAAGTGCATGAAGCAGTTCACACCACTCAGAACTGTTGTTTCAGGCTGTTTGCAGACTCAGGCAGATATCTCTGCATCAGTTATACTAGAGTCGTGTTTTCGGGCTTTTCTTTGCAACCAAAGTAAACTGCGATTTTCACCTCATCACATGAATCCAGGACTTGGTGCCCTAAACATAGGTGCCTATGCCTTAATCTGGCCCTGATGTAGATTATTGAGGCTATCGGGAAAACATTTCCCTTCTGAATTTTATGCACTTACTGCATAAGAAAAGTCCAGATAAGCCAATGGAGAGAAAGTTCCCCACACGGTTAGTTGGAATAAGTGAAACTGACTACTAGCAGAAGAAAATTATCAGGCAAATGTCACAGTTCACGACAACTGCACCTATATTTCCACCTTGTGTCTAGCAAGGGCACCCACTGTCAGGCTTCTGGCTCCCGGCTCCCCAGGTGTCATGTCTCTTGGGCAAGAGACACACCACTCACTCACTCCTGATTTGGATATTTCCAGGCTGCACAGTTCACTGCCTACACTGTGTACTTTCCAAGAAATCAGACTGCCTAAGCAGGTCTGCTTTGCTTTTCTCTCAGAGGCTATATATAGAATAATTGTCCACAGTGATAAGGTACCACCAACCTTGTCCTAAGTAATTACATTTATTTCTTAAGGTGAAAGCATTACAGAAAAAACATTAAAACAATAAAAGAACCTACACACATTAGTAAGATTATCAGAGATCACCCTAACTGCAACAAGGACTGTGTTATCGGGTCAGTCCTTCAAGCTCCACATGGGTTTTCAGTGGTTACAAATTCACAACACTGTCATGAATCTGTGAGTCATTCCTTTATACTGCCTGGGCCTTTGAGCTGAGAATAGGTATTTCATAGACCATGGGTTTTTCCTCAGGTCATAGCTTCAAAAGGTTGGGTCCGGAGGTGGGAATTTTCATTCCCTTCTCCCATATATTTCCTATGAAACCCACTTAACTTTGTTTATCCCAAACATTCCTTCTTGTTTGGCCCATTGTTAAATGAGACCCTGGAAGCTTATGACACTTCCCTGGATTTATGTTAGTCCTTCCCTGCCTCCACCCCCCATTACATAAAATCCCACAATAATACATAAGCAGTTTCATTTTTAATAAAAATGAATTCCTAAAATACTTATACTTAATTCAGTAAGTTTGTCCATGATATTGCAGGAAATTGCCATATCTGTCACAGCAAGTACAAATATCTCCTTGCAACATTTGCCTGTGAGGAAGCTCTGAAGGAGCCTTCAGAGTTGACTCAATATGTGGAGTGGCCTTGGTAATACCTGCTGGTGGAGCCTCTGATGTCACTGCTGATGGGAGCGGCCTAGCTACTACCCCCTCTTCTGGTAGTTGCCTTTTAAAAACACATTGAAGGTGTTGATATTCCTGCCTCTGGCTACACTGCAACTTAACTCAACTTTAATTACGTCACCCAGGGATGTGAATTAGCCACCCCTGAGCGACATAATTTATGCCGATTTAAGTGCCGATGTAGCCCCCCTGCTCGCTGGTGCTAGAGTAATTAAGCCGAGGGGACAGCTCTCTCCCAACGGCTTAGAGTGGCTACATTAGAGAGCTTACAGCGGCGCAGCTGCATCAGTACAGCTGCACCGCTATAAGCTCTTTAGTGTAGCCATAGCCTCTGTTGTTTAAGGGGGAACTGCCAGAGGTTGATGGCTGCTGCTGTGGCCAGAGCTCCTGGAATTATAGTCCTGTCTGTAGGGGTTGCTGTGCTGTGTCTTGCTGCCAAAAATATAGAGGTTTGCTCTCACATTTAGCTGAAGCTTTGTGGAGCACCTCCTGGATTATGCCAGGATGCCCTGACATAGAGAGGAGCTCCGGCTTAGAGGTTTTTCTTTTTTTCATATGTTCTGAAGACCAGAAATCTCCTGCCACGCCTAAAAGGCAGAGTGATTTGAGGTTTTCTCCTCAAGTGAGGAGAGCCTAGATAGTTCCCTTGACTAGCAGGTCTGACACTGCTTCCTAGCTGCAAAAGCAGGGGGGGAAAAAAAAAATCAATGTTTTAATGGCACACCTAGCTATGCAGGAGAATCATGCGACTCCTGACTGAACAGTAAATATTGTCAAGGATGCATTTCACAAGTTACAGGCCAAGTTCTGCCCTTAAATTCACACACACAACTCATTGACTTCAAAAGGTCACAGACATTAAAGGGCAGAATTTGTGTGTACACCAGTGGTTCCCAAACTTGTTCCGGCGCTTGTGCAGGGAAAGCCCCTGCCAGGCCACACCGGTTTGTTTACCTGCCACGTCCACAGGTTCAGCCGATCGCTGCTCCCAGTGGCCACGGTTCACTGCTCCAGGCCAATGAGAGCTGCTGGAAGCGGCGCGGGCCAAGGGATGTACTGGCTGCCGCTTCCAGCAGCTCCCATTGGCCTGGAGCATCGAACTGCGGCCACTGGGAGCCATGATCGGCCCAACCTGCAGACGTGGCAGGTAAACAAACCGGTGTGGCCTGGCAGGGGCTTTCCCTGCACAAGCGCCGGAACAAGTTTGGGAACCACTGGTGTACACAATACAGGAATTGTATCACTACTGAAATACAGCCACCTTTGGGATGAAACATTGGCAGCTGTTTAAGCCCAATGTCTCACATCAGTTTAAGACAAAGTGAAAAATATAATATTGTCCTGTTGAAACAGTATGAAATGTATGATGATGCACTGTAGGTCCAGTTTCATCATCCTCAGCATCACGCAGACTTCAAAAGGAAACTGAACCTGGGCAATAAGGTGGGATAGGAAATAAAACTGACTTTCCCCTGTAAAGTTTAGACTCAGATTCTGATTTGTGGTCTGCAGCTGGCAGAGGCCAGAAATGTCAGAGCCCAAGAGGTAGTGCACCCCGAGTCCATCTCTCCTTCACACCTGTGAAAAAGCCTTTCTACAGGTGCTCATTGACAAGAAACACAGAGGGTCTTTCCAGTGTAGCACCTTGAAGTCAGGGGACATGTATCAAGTGTTTCAGGCCCCATTGCTGGGTCAGTGAGCACCATGTACATGCATGGCATTGATATCTCCTGTTGCTGGCATGAATAGTGTGTGCATTAGAATATTGGTGCATATTAATGTTACTTTTGCAGCAACTTGTGGTAATTTGGGTCTTAGAATGTAAGGCAGTTCAGGGCTGGGCAAGAACAATGATCCTTTTCTAGAAGCTTCTCTCCTCCACAACCTTGTTCTCCCTGCTGCAGGCCTAGGGGCACCTCCATAATTTCACATAGTATGGTTTAAGTCTGTATCAGATTTTTTCCTCTTTCTTTAAAAAGATTTAGCTACTTGTCTTAGTATATATAATTGGACACTTTTTTTTTTTTGAAAGGCGCATGTTGCTGACCAGGATATTCTTAAAGCTATAGAGGAACAAAAACAAGAAGAGGAGAATGATAAAATTCGAGCTCACTTTAGAGCAAAACAAAATATGGCCAAACTGAGAAGAGAAAAAGAAGCTGAAATGAACAGGTGGGTCAAATGTTAGAGAATTAAATAAAGTATAAATTCAGAATTATGCCTTTGTCACATGATTATGATAACATTCTAAACGCTTAAGTCAGCAAAAAAGATCTTACAGTATTACAGCATGGATACCTGGACCAAAGTGCTTCATGGTATTTGGAGGTTATGAAAGAGGAAAAGGTCTGAAAGGAGTTCCCCTTCTACTGGCCCTTTGTAGTCACAGATGATGTGCGGTGAGCTGAGTACTCACCTTGATCGTACAAGGCTTGTGGACTTAGCAGGAAAATGGTTCTTAACCAGAGGTACCTGGGGGTGTGCAGAGATCTTCCAGGGGGTACATCAATTCATCTAGATATTTGCCTACTTTTACAACAGGCTACCTAAAAAGCACTAGTGAAGTTAGTACAAATTAAAATTTCATACAGAGAATGACTTGTTTATACTGCTCTGTATACGATACACTGAAATGAAAGTACAATATTTATATTCCAATTGACTAATTTTATAATTATATGGTAAAAATAAGGCAGTAAGCAATTTTTCAGTAATAGTGTGCTGTGACACTTTTGTATTTTTGTCTGTTTTTTTAAGCAAGTAGTTTTTAAGTGAGGTAAAACTTGGGGGTAGGGAAGACAAATCAGACTCTTAAAAGGGGTACAGTAGTCTGGAAAGGTTGAGAGCTACTGTTGCAGGACATTGGGCCCCACATCCATGTGCTGGAGCTGTGGGCTTTTCATCTGGTCTGCAAGCCTTTTACTCTCTTACCAGTTCCAAACTATCTAAATCCTGATGGAAAACAACATCATGATGTGGCTGTGATTTCCTTTCAGTGAAGAAAGGGAGAAAAGACAGAAAAAGGAAGGGGGAAAACGGATTTCTTAATCAGATACTTGCATATAATTTGATTCCAGTGAGACAGTTGTAAGGAAACCAGGTTTATCTATTTAACGTTGACATGTTGCATTAATTGCTGTTCTGCTATAGGTTAATGCAGGAGCGTAGGGATATTACTATTAACCATCTAGCTGAACAAATGAAACAGACATTTGAGAGGATAGATGAACGTGTTGCTAGAGATGTTGCAGAGAGAGAAGCTGAGTGGGAAAAAGAGCTCAAAGAGAAAGAAGAAAAAACCAAAGCTGAATTGAAATCAATTGCAGAACACAGAGCCACCGTGGTAAGATACTTAAGGAAAAAGCTACATTAATGTGGTTGTGTACAGTCATTCTTATAAATATTTTTGGGAAAAACAATAGTTTTTGTAGTTCATGGTGGGAGATACATATTGAACGTACTGTTCAACACTTACATCTCACAATTAAAGTAGATAGCAAGTCTTTAGACAAAATGTATATGAACAGGCTGGTTGTGTGTCACAAACAACTAAAAGTGAAAGTCTATGTTATCATTGAGAATTGATGCAAATCTCTTAGTTTTAATATTCATTATTTCAAACAGAGTTTTTTGAGCTAGTACAACCAATATAATCACTTGGCACTTTTAGTGAGAAGGGCATACTGGCTAGTAGCTGTAACCTAATCGCTTAGCTGATGCTCCTGCTCTCCTGCAAGCTCAGAGTCAGTAGGGAATGAGGGCTGCTCTCCCGCAGGCGTTAGAGAGGCCTTGGTCTGCCTGGTGGGGGAGATGGTCTTCAGACTGCTGGCTTCCATCCTACTTAATGAGGCAGAATAATCTGACCCATCACATTGTCCCTGCTTCTTCCATTTTTAGTCTCCTTCATGCACACTCCTCCTAGAATCATCCACGTGCTCTTCTGATCACTCCTCTGAACACATCACTGGCATACCACTCAAGCAGTGTGACGATTCAAGAGCTGTTCCTAGGGGACTAGCCTCTCACAACCCTCAAGGGTGAGGACCTGAAGCACAGCTTCTTCCAGGCAATTTGACTACAACCCACTAAAACTCATGGGCTCAACAAAGCTATGGCCTCTTACTGGGTGATGTGTTAATCACCAGGTTTAGTAAGCAAGTAAAGTATTAAAAATCCTTGGGTCCTTGACTTCTTTACCAGCATAGTAAAGACCTCTCAAAAAAGCATTAATGTGTACATGTAAATACATAGTGCAGGGTTTGCAACATTTTCATGCTGTTAACCGCATTTCTGAACAGGGGAATAACCTCTCTTGTTCACAACTGTGCAGCCAAAGTACCTCCTGCTTTGGATTTCATAACCTCTACAACAGTTGCTTATGTGAAAAAGTAAAAGTAATGATTTTTTTAACCAACTTTCAATGGAAATTAGTATCTGAAAACAATGGGGTAACCAGAACCATGTCACAAGATAGCTCTCTGAGGACCACTAGTAAGTGGTATACCAGCCAGTTTGAAAATTGCTGTTATAATGAAATGAGCATTTTAAGGAAACACTGGGGGATTTTCCAAGCAACTCTGGTAGGCTATTGACAGGTGACTGACAAGTGACATCATTAATCAATCACTGATAAAATTAGGAAATATTGAGAAAAATGATGTAAAGCTTTGGAGTCGAGGGGAAACTCTCATAGGTGTGTGGAATTACTAGATTTTGGAAATGTTTTGCTGATGTTTCACTGCTTCTTAATATTATGGGCCTTTGGTTTTTTAGTGTCACTTGCCTGTAGAATGATAAAATATGCCTGAAAAATATGGTTTTCAAATTTGTTGGTTTAGCAAATTGAGTTAATTATTTTTTTTTTTTTTAAAATATAGATAAAAATGAAAGAAGAGAGAGAAAGAGAGGCAAGATTAGAGGGTAAAGAAAAGCTTCATGAACTAATGGAAGCAGACCGCATCTATCTGGAAATGGAGAAAGACAAGAAACGAAGAAATCGCAATGAAAACATAAAAATGCAAGAGACTCAAATCCAGCAAATGGTAACTAGGGGGATTATCAGACTGTCAGACATTTTACAAAGCTATTTCAACATACATCTACGGTATAGGAGTCTTGCATGAGACCTAATCTTTATATTATCACAGTACTGTTCAAAACAAGAGAAACATGAGAAAATTATTTTTATCCCTTTAAACATAATGCTTCAAGAGTTGTTTCTCAGGGACCAACGTCTTCACAGCGCAAGGGTGGGAATGTGAAGCAGAATTTATATACATGAGTGGGGAAAGCGTTAGTTCACAGGATTGGCAGTAGGATATAGATCCTTTCATCTCCAGACACCTTGTGTGACTCAAGCCCAGTGTGCACTGAAAGATGTCCCCTTTTGATGATGGCTGCTAGGTTGGATTATATAAAATAGCATTTGGTGTCTCAGTCCAGTTGTCAGTGGACATGTATCACAAAATCCCCTACCAGTGCCAACACTAGCCGTATGCCAAATATGTGCCATCACAAGGCCCCATGCTTTTGGGAGACTTCCCCAGCCTGCTGTGCTGCCCCATCACCTTAATAGATCAACACTGAGGCTCAACCCTTCATAGGCCCACGACTACTACCATTGTCCAGTCCCCTCTCAGCTGCTGAAACCATCTGCCAGTGACAAGCACCCCATCTCCTGCTCACATGCCAAAGTCTAACCATACAAATATGTTATGGGAGTACTGCAGTCTGCCTAGGTTCCCAACAATCATATTTTGTACATGGATCTGCAAAATCTAGGGATAGTTTAGCATGGTCTGCGCAAATTGGCAACCATATGGGTAAGAATTAACTGAGCAGTCAAGACTTGAATGAATGACGTTGATTGAGGTACCCTTTCAGCTGCAGATAATGGTCTCTCTGAATCAGTATTCAGGCACATTGCTAGCACATGGTTACTGCTTACTTTGTACCTATTCTCTGGACAAACGGAGAATGTCAGTTATGCATTTCTAACTAGAGTTAGATTGTGATTAACAAATAATTGTTTTTATCAGAAAGGTATTTACAGCCAATTATTAAAAAAATGTCACATAAGGACTTCCACGACTTTATGCCCTGTTAAGCTATTCTACCACAAGTTAACCATGTGGAAATATTTAAGCTTTGTTATTCCCTTCCCCAAAACAGGTTGAAAAACGGGCAAAAGAACAGCATGAGAAACAAGCAGAATTGAACTATGAGGCCCAGAAAGAAGTTATTGCAATTTGCAAGGAGCGGGAATTTCAAGAATATGCAAATCAAGTAATTGATTCAGAATCCAAGACAGCCCGAAATATTTATCCTCTTCTCAAAGCAGCAAAGGAAGGGGCAGGTGGTGGGCATGGACCAGTTTACAGAGAAAGAGGAGGAATAAGACCTAGTTACCAAGCACGAGATATCAATGGCACTCAGCTACCTTCTTATAATTGTAACACTACTGAAGAAATAAAAGAGCTAAATACCAATGGTAACATCCAGCAAACTAAGGGAAGACTTGGTTTTACATGGTAAAAATAACTCTTCGGAGTCTTTACAAAAACAAGTCCAATAAATCGGTAAATGATCCATGTTGTATGAAACCCATGAAAGGAACTAGAAAAGCCATAAGTACTATATGGAACGTTGATAGGGATCCAAGTGTATTTTCCTAAACATTGAAAGTTGTATTTTACCGAAGTCACTATGTTAAATCAAATAGAGAGGCAGAACTGAATGATGTACTGAATGATGTACTGATAACCAGTGTAGAACCTTACTTTATATAAGGCTCATATTAAAAAAATAGAATATTTTAGTTTCAATTTTGTAAGTTTCAAGTTCAATCTTTTACAGCTACTCTTGAGTACACTGTAAAGTGCTGCATTTGGCTTCTTGCATTGTTATAATCAGAGTGCTAAGGAAAAAAATTATCCTCAAAAGATGCCAAATACTTTTCAAAAGTGTAGGGAATACATGAGAATCAAATACTAAATAACATATGAAAGATCTGAAAAAAACATTTAGTATTGCTAAAAGTACTTTGATACAAATTTCACATTCCACATGAAATATTTCTTCAGATTCCACTCTTTACTGAATTTAATCAATCAGCATGCAGAGCACTAGTTCATTATCAGTATATAATTTCTTTTCTTTTCTCTTAAAATCTGAATCAACTCTTGCAACAAACTAATAACTACCTTGCTGCTGTTACACAACTTTAACTATAATAGGCCCAGCTTTCATTAACATAGTTTTACTAAAAGAACGAGGAGTCCTTGTGGCACCTTCGAGACGAACAAATTTATTTGGGCATAAGCTTTCGTGGGCTAGAACCCACTTCATCGCTAAATTATTTCATTACTAAGTTATTCTGAGTACAAAAAATACATGCAAAACAGTTACAGCAAAGCGAACATGTTGCACATACTCAGCTTATATGCCATTTTCAAGGTTCTGTGTAAAAATATATTATCAGCTTATTATATAGAAAACTAAGAGGTGACTATCATGGTGTGCAAGTACACCTACATGTGAAGAAGAGGGCTCTTTGATCTAGCACACAACAAGAGGCATAAACAAGGTCCAGTAACTGGCAGTTGAAATTAAATAAACTGAAACTGGAAATAAGGTGTAAATCTTTAACACTGGAACAATTTATCAAGGTATATAGTGGATTCTCCATCACTTGAAGTCTTTAAGAATGGATACCTTTTTAGAAGATATGCCATAATTCAAGCAGCAATTACAGGTTTGCTACAGGAATTACTGTGGCACTAAATGGTCTGTATGCTTTTATGTAGTAGGTCACATTAGATGCTCCTAATGATTCTTTCTGGCCTTGCAGTCTGTGAAAAAGGGTTAGATGCTTACAGACCAATCCCTGCAAGGTTCCCTACAAACATGCTGTCTAGTACAACATTTTATTTTAAAAAATCTGAATCATACATTTATATAAGTTCTATTCTACTATGTTTAATGTGTCAATATTGGAAATTTGATTGCAAACATGTAATGCTTAATGTAGATGACTATAGATATATACACAGCTTGCAATCTAAGGCCCTGATCCAGCAAAACACTTCAATACATGCTTAGTAACTCAGAACATGAACACAATAGTTCTGATGACTTAAATGGAACTATTCACTGTTTAAAGGTCAGCATATGCGTAAGTGCTTTGATCGATTGGGAAAAATGTAATTTGCCTGTATTTCTAGTGCAGCAGGAGCCATATTGTGGTAATATATCCTTGTATTTGTTTTTGCACAAGTTTAAGTGTTATCAGCAGGAGAGTATGTGCTGCAGTGTAAATTCCACCCTTTGATCAACTGCTGCTGCAAAGACAGCACAGACGCAAAAGACAGCAAAGAATATTGTTTGGAGCTATCTAACAAAAATCCTGCCATTTAAAAAAGAACATTCTCTACATGTAAATGTGTATTTTTAATACACACATTCTGAATCACATTATATCCCTATTGTAACTATAACACAGAAGCAAGGTCCAAACAACTTGAAAGTAGAGCTTTTATACTTGTAATTTCTTTGCTTTGGTTGAGTTGGTTCTTTAACTTTTATAATGTAGGCACTGTTTATATCTAATCTTCCATTCCAAACCTATTTCTTCTCCATCCTGCTAATTTTTGCTTGGAACAACTGATTTGTTTGCAAATTGTGATGCTTAAAATAGAGATATAGAGAATTTTTCTGAAAAACTGGAATGTGTCAGATTCAAAATTTCTTTTACCACTTCATTAAATCATTACTTGGGGTTTATTATCTCCCTGTCCCTGTGGCTCATTTTTTAATCATCATTTTTACCCACACATTCTCAAAAAAATTTCAGAGCTCCCAACCTTACACCCAAAGATGGTTCTTCAAACACAAAGAAGGGGGCATTTTTCTTACTCAGGGCATTAGCCAAGACACAATTATTTAGCAATTCTTACCATAATGGGTTGGAACCAGAGCAGGAAGGGCTCAGGCTAGACAATCCAGTTAAGTGAGCTGCCTGTTTACTCTCTAGAGCTATAGCAGTCCTCCAAGACCAGAGGATGAGAGAGAGAGAGAACAACGGTAGGGACTGGAGAGATTAGTCAGGGGAAAGAGGAGAAACTAGAGACTGGAGAGAGAAGCCAGAAGAAGGATAGAGGGGGACAAGGTAAGGACTGCAAAATGGAGCCTAGGGTAAGTGTGGAAGATGGTGGGAACTAGAGAGGGGTTAACTAGGAGAGTGAAGGGAGATGTGTGATGCATACGCACAGATACTTGCACACTCCCGTGCACACATGTGTAGATAACTGACCTCACAGAGTATGGTTAGTGTGTTATAATTTAAATACATCTGAGGGTCACTCCATCCCAAAACCACTGATCAAGATTTAGTGGTGGTATAATTTACTCAGCAGGTGAGAGCTGGGGTGCGTGTTACACCTTGATAAAAGTTTATTTAATGGTAGACAAGATAATACAACTAGCTGTTCAAAAAAATAGGGATTTTATTTAAAAAGGAACAAATGCATTCCACCTACCTACAATAACATTCAATATATGAAGAATATATATAATAAAAAAATAACAGACACTATAACTTACTAATAAGCATACTTAACTAAATATAACCCTCTAAATAAAAAAAGTCTCTGTATGCACAGGCTATTTATTATCTTATAGGTTATTACTATTAGTTCAAGCTTCTCCTTTCCCCAAATCACTCACTGGGTTGACACAAAAGCCTAACTCGATAGATATTGTTGAATCACAGTTCTAGACTTAAACATGATAGAAGCCATGCACCTACACCTGCTATTTTAAATCAGGTTTGCTCTTTAAGGTAATTTCTTCTATGCCATTCTGTCATGTATTTCATGCTTCATTTTTTTATTTTTAAAGTCAGCCCAGTATTTTCAGTAAGGTGGTAACACGCACAGTGGTAGGCCATGCAGTAACGTTGTGGATCATCACCCTATCTAATATGTTGGGGAAAAAATCAAACATATATTCTCACCTTGATGAGTGTGGCAGCTTAACTCCCCCTAGGAAAAGGTTTACCTAGAGTTGTAAGTTTAGGATGTAAGTGTATGAAATACTCCTTTACTTCTTCATCAGTTTCTTCCATTATAAATAGACAACCCCACTCTCAGCACAGCAGCTGTTCTCTGTTACAGTCAACTGCATCTGCTGTTTCGTGCTGATTTGCAATTTACTAAATGCATTGTATGCACTCTAGCCTCTTTTCAAAAAGAGGGTGCTTTGCGTCAGGCCATATGGAAAGAAAAGTCTACTTTTTCATGTTTTTCTGTTAGTAGGCTAGATATTCCAATATTGTTAGCCAGGATGTGGCCACAAATGCAGTGTGAACACAAAAAAAGTGCTAAAGTCTGAAATATGTCCCTCTGTATACTTACAAAAAACATGAGAGATGGTACCTGCTGAACACCTTTGCAGCGACAGGTCTGAATGTACTTAGGCAGAGTGGGGAGCAAAGCACTGGTTAGACAAGTGTTCTAAGAAGCAAAGGGACATCCTAGGAAAAGTGAGAGGCCTCTCAGTGCAGGTGCTTCACTACTGACACAGGCAGCTGGGGTGATTCATGTTTAAAACAACTATTCATGGGAACTGAGAACAGTTTAAATATAGCTGTCCAGTAAGAACCATTAGCCACATCCTTGTTACTCATTGGAGGTCATCACAGCTTGGGTGGAGAGATAAGCACAAAGGTGGACAGTACTTTCATGCCCCTAATTCTTGAGTTGCTAGTCTGATCCCGAGGAGCAGGCTCAGGGCTGAGCTAAGTTACTGCAGCTGCCAATGGCCTAGGGCTTGTTGGGATTGCCAAAGCTCAGGATACATCTCCTTTCCACTCTTCACAGCTCCTGTTCTTGGAGGTTTGGGAGGAGGTGGCAAAGGAGCTGCTATTCCACCCTTATGCTACTTGGGGGTTCTGCAGTGCTAGAGGAAGTCCCAGATGTTGAGGTATGCTAGCTTTAGGAGTGCAATCTTCTATATGGATGCTGCAGAGCTGAGTTCCTGACCCCATGGCTCTCCAGACCAAATTATCCTGAATACTGGCAAGGATATGCATTATGGCTATGGGACAATGTCTGCCCTCAAATACCTAGAGACTGCTCTCAGTTGACATAGTATGACCATCGTCTCTTTACCGAGATTGCAAGTTGCAGTGGGGGAGGTTTAGGTTGGATATTAGGAAAAACTTTTTCACTAGGAGGGTGGTGAAACACTGGAATGCGTTACCTAGGGAGGTGGTAGAATCTCCTTCCTTAGAAGTTTTTAAGGTCAGGCTTGACAAAGCCCTGGCTGGGATGATTTAATTGGGGATTGGTCCTGCTTTGAGCAGGGGGTTGGACTAGATGACCTCCTGAGGTCCCTTCCAACCCTGATATTCTATGATTCTATGATTTAGAGGCTTGACAGTAAATACAACTGGACATTTTCTTATTTTAAAGGACCATATTGCTGAACAGGATATTCTTAAGGCTGAAGAGGAAAAAAAAAGTGAGCTGAGGAGGCTATTCGAGATCACTTTAAAGCTAAACAAGAACAGGCCGATCTGTGGAGAGAGAAAAAATTCAAACAGCACAAATGGATACATGGTTATAGTATTCCATAAAAGTGATAATATGGCTCCTGGATTATTTTCTCTCTCTTATGTAAAAGGGTAGGATGAAAAAAATGTAGGTGACTCTGTAAATTGACTTAGCTGTGTCTCTCCCATAACATGTAGATGAAAATGAAGGACAATACAAAAAGACTGGAGAAAGAAGAGACTAAAGAGCAGCTGCATGGATTAGTGGAAGCAGACAAAAGCTACTGGGCAGCTGAGAATCAAAGCAGGCGAGAAGAAAACAAGAAAATACAGGAAGCTTAAATCCAGTAAATGGTAATTGGGGTGGGGGGGAAGGGGATTATCCACTTTGATTTTTTAATGCTAAGAGGCATTTCAGTGCCTGTCAGTGGCACAGGGTTGCTGCATCGGACCTTAGCCTTTACTGTTCTAAACCAAAGCAAGACTGATGCTTATTTGGTTTGGGTCGTGGGTTTTTTTTAAACAAACTGTCACGGAGGGAAGGAGATGTCTTGGGTCTGATAATTGGTGACCTGTAGGTGTAAACTTATTTACATTCACCCCAGGCAACTGGTAACTGAAAAATGGCACCATCTGAAGATGGCTCTGGTGACCACTGTAGTCTGATTGGATTCCCACCAGCTTTACCCTTTAGAGGTTAAGTGAAATCTTGGGCTGTCTGAGTGCCGCTCTTAATGCTAACTGGCAACATTAGTGATAGCCTTAGCTGAGAAACCAAAGCCTGAATGGGCATGGCTTCAAATATTTTGTCAATAGTAGAGGTGGTTCCTTCAGGTTAGAATTCCAGCACATCGTTGGGGTAGCGTGGGGAAGCTTACACTGATGCTGTGTGAAAACTAAATTCATAAGGGGTGAAATCCTGTTCCTACTGAAGGCAATGGGAGTTTATCAAAGCATTTCACAGCCAAATTTAAAAATAAGCACTTACTACATTCAAGAAACTCAAGGTCCATACATGGCAATGGATTGGAGTACTAGTGCCACAGTTGTTAGATCACTAGCCTCGGTAATCATTGTTTGGAGACTGTTTTCCAGACCAACCCTCACTATCGGAGCTCAGTCTTGAGTGTTACACCATGGAGTTTTAGGACATTTAACAATTCTCTTCTGATCCACAAAATGGAAGATAATTTCAGTCCAAACACAGACAGAAATTTAACTGCTATTTAAAATTAATGGAGGCTAAATTCTGTTACACTGCTACTTCTGCCTTGTGACTGGCATTCTGGTATATTTGACTTAAGTGTGTATTTCTGCATAGTCACTCACCTTTCCATAGGAGCCAGGGTTATGTAGCATAAGTGTTTTGAGACTGGACAGTTTTAGCTTCAACAGTCACAATCCTTCAGATTCACTTATTCTTTGAAGCAAGTAGAAAAGTTTCCTGCCAATAGGAATCCCTCAAAGCCTGTAAGCAGTTGGTTTCTAGACTGGATCTAGTTATTCATGAGATGAAATCCTCAATTAGATAAAATTCCAGTGCTTGCCAGGCAGTGATTTTACATACATCTTGGATTTTCTAGCAGTAGTTCAGTTCCCCTTTAGAGGCCTAGAGATACACTCATTACAAAGGTTTCCCAGATCAAAACTCCTTTCTGAGACCTCGTGAGGTGTAATTCTGTTTATCTTCTAACATACATTTGAGTTAGTTCCCTTCTATCAACCCTCTTGTCTCTGATAATATCTTTGTCAGGCCCTGTCCTGCAATGGTGAAATTTCCCCCAAATTCTAACTGGCTTCAAAACTTGTTCAAGATTTAAGTTATAGCAAAAGCTAGTTTACAAGTGGCCTGAACTTATTTCAAAACCAGCTCTGTTTTGGGCTCTTGGCAATAAATTAACCATTAATCAATTGCTTGGGGGAGGAATAGTTCAGTGGTTTGAACATTGGCCTGCTAAACCCAGGGTTGTGAGTTCAATCCTTGAGGGGGCCATTTAGGGATGTGGGGCAAAAATTGAGGATTGGTCCTGCTTTTGAGCCGGGGGTTGGACTAGATGACCACCTGAGGTCCCTTCCAACCCTGATAGTCTATGATTCTAAGTTGATGCTATGCAGCAAACTGAGCTGAAGATCAAGATTTCACTAGTCACAACTTACTGACTATTCTATAAACAGGACAAGCTTTTCATTTTATGCTCTGCTACTGGAAACTTATTTGGCGGCTGCTAAAACT